AAAGTGTCAGAGGCACGTAAGTCTGGTCGGCTTCCCAGAGAAGAACGTGAGGTGTCCCTTTGTTCCAGAAATATCTCGATGTTTCTTATTGTCCTGGTAAATAGGCTTAGTCAACTGTGTATTTTTTTTGTGAAGAAGGGTCCTGACCCAAAACGTCAGCTTTCCTGTTCCTGTGATGCTGCCTGGCCTGCTGTGTTCCTCCAGCTCCACACTGTGTTGTCTCTGACTCTAGCATCTGCAGTTCTTACTATGTTGGTGAGTTGTGTATTGTGCTGTCACCAGCTGCAACCTGCCTGTCTGGGTCTGCAGCTTGTTCATTTCAGTATCTTTGCATAGATACTTTGACCAATGCTCGGCTTGATTTCCCAGCAAGCTTGGTGTATTATCCAATTCTGCCAATTTGAGTGGCCCGTCTGGCTACAAAGAGACCTGGGTGCATTGTTCCATGAAAGTGAAATCGCAGGTATACGGTGGTAAAGAAGGCATTTGGCAAGCTTGCCTTCATTGGTTAGAACATTGAGTATAAGAGTTGGGATGTCATGCTGCAGCTGTACAGGATGTTGTTTAGGCCACTTCTGGAAAACTGCATTAAATTCTGGATTCCCTGCGGCAGTAAAAATGTTAAACTCAATGGTGTAGAAAAGAAACACAAAGATGTTCCTAGGCTTGGAGGGTTTGAGCTATAGGGAGAGGCTGAATAGGCTGGGCTCTTTTCCCTGGAGCGTTGGAGGCTGAGGGCTCACCTTGTAGAAGTTTATAAAATCATAAGGGGCATGGAGAGGCTGAATATCCTAGGTCTTTTTCCCATGGTAGGGGAGTCCAAAACTAGAGGGCATAGGTTTAAGGTGAGAGGGGAAAGATTTAAAAGGGACCTAAGGAGCAACTTTTTTCATGCAGAAGGTGATGTGTGTATGGAATGAGCTGCCAGAAGAGGTGGTAGAGGCAGGTACAATTACAACATTTAAAAGGCATCTAGATGGGTACATGAATAGGAAAGTTTTGGAGGGATATGGGCCCAATGCTGGCAAACGAGACGAGATTAGTTTAGGACATCTGGTTGGCGTGGATAAGCGGGACTGAAGGCTTTATTTCTGTGCTGTGTAACTCTGACTCTATTTCCCTTTCAATCCTATTGGCCCATGTTTTTTCTGAGCTTTCTGTTTATCAAATGCTTTTGAGATCGTTTTGGCCTGCTAACACTCTTATTCTTTTTTTTAAAGTTCTCCTGTACTTCTTCTCCTGTAATTTTTCTAATTATTAAACTGACTCTCTTTCCTGACATCTCTCAAACCACAATTTTCTGTTTTTATTTTAACCCTTATTTACTTTACCATTTGTGGAACTCTAGCTTTGGATGCTCTGCCTCTTTTCAAAGGAATTTGTTTAGCTTGAACCAGAACACACTCCTTCCTGATGTCCTCCTCCCTTATTGCTTAATCTTCCAGTTACCTTGACCAAACGATTTATGTTAGATCCCTTTTGAAATCAGCTCTTACCCATGTATGCATTTTTGCCTTTAACATTTTCTGGTCCGTTTCCATAATTGTTTTAAACCAGGTGATGTTGTCGTTGCTATTTAGCAAGACAATTGCCTGTAACACACTGTTTATCTAGACTCAACGTTAGCTTGCTCCCTGGCCATGGTTGCTGTCTAACCCACTGTGATATCCAGCATTAGTTATTTTCTGTACAGATTACAGCAACTGCGGTAAATTGCTCCTGCTATTTAACATAGGTGGTCAGCTCAGACCTCTATCTCTTTCGTCCCAGCTCCTGACAGCCTCAATTCCCCAATATTTCAAAAATCTATATCGCACCTTATTAAGTACCTCCAGTGATCTAACCTCTGTAACACACTCGGGTTGGGAATTCCAGACAACCACCATCCTCTCAAAGGAATTCCTTTCGATTTAAGTTTTTAAATGAGAGTCACAGAATAAGGGGACAATGTCCTTTAGTTCAAGATTCCCCCTCCATTCTATCAAATCCCTCAGAATCTTGTATGTTTCAATAAGATCACCCCCCTCACTCTTCTAAATCCTAATGAATAAATGCCTAACCAATTTAGCTGTTCTTGAGAAGTCAACACTTTCAGCCTAAGGATCAGCTCAATGAATGTCTTTTGAACAGCCTCCAATACTGTTGCACCCTGTTTTGAATACATGGATCAAAAATCTCCAGTTGTGGCTTTACTAACACCTTGTATAGTTGTAAGAGGACTTCGCTAGTTTTAAACTCCAACCCATTAGTGGTAAAGCCCAAAATTCTATTTGGCTTCTTAAGTTACTTTATTTCTTAATTACTTGTTGCACCTTCTTGTGCATGAAATACTAAACATTAGCATGAACACCCAGATCCTGCTGCGCTCCACTTTTTGGAATCTCTGTCCATGTAAATACTGTAATCTGTTCACTGTTATATTCACTCACTGGTTTAGAAGGGGAGTCTCTTTCCTGAGAGTAGTAAATTGTTAAACATTTTAAATTTTACTTTTCCTTTCTGCATCTTCTATCTCTACCCAACCCTTCTCTCCATCTTTTATTTTCCTTTTTGTAACTGTTTTGACTAGAATTTATTTGGTTTCCTTCTGTCATTCATATTTCTTGATCAATCCTTAAATCGGATTAACGAGAGAGACTGTTTGTGGAATGCAGGTGTCCATTGCCATCACCATGCTGCAGTTACAGCCAGGTGAGGAAAGATAGCCTGATAATGGAATAGTTTAGGTTAGATGGGCTTCAGATTGGTTTCACAAGTCGGCGCAACATCGAGGGCCGAAGGGCCTGTACTGCGCTGTAACGTTCTATGTTCTATGTTTACTACTCTTCCTACCACTCATTTCACCACAACAAATTTTTGAATTTTTACAAGGTTGATAGATTGTCAATTCCTTATGTATTTGAATGCATGCAATTTTGTGAGAAATAAGCAGAAGGGTATTCTTGAATTAAAGATGTAAGGAAGAAGTTTTGTTGTTTTTAAAAAAAAACCCATTCGGATAAAATTTTTAAGAAACATTAGCAGTGTATAAATAGATCCAACTTCATACTAGTGCACACAAACACACCATGTTCAGACTTTACATTGTTAGATGTTAGACTTGACCAAGTAAGAAAAATGCAGATAAAAGTAGTAAAGTCAAGTAAAACGAAAAGATTCACTGCCTCTCCGGATGTTTGGTTCTTAAGCTGAAGAATTCATTTTCCCCAGTAGTGCCTGGTATTTTTTCTTTCATCTTCAAATTCTTTCTTCAAAATTATCTGTTTGAAGTGAGGTGGTTTTGTAGGTAGTACTTCAATTCACAAGTAAGGGTCAAATTTGAGAGAGCTTTCAGAGAAAGAGAGAAAGAGACTTTGCATGTCCTGTGGCCAACTCCAAATTTAAATATTTACCCAAAATATATATCAAATGATTCATCTCTCCATTTTGGTTGCAAATTCTAAAAAATATAGATGACTAACTCGTGTCACTTGCTTTCTTTCAGTCGTTGTTTCGTAGCTGTGGTGATCAATTTTTTAGATATCCCCAATTATTTCTCCTGAATGGTCAATCCTGGCTTTCAATGAGGTTGGAAGGAGAAATTTGGCACCTCCAGGAGGTCTTTGCCTCTGTCTCACTGTGATGTTATGACCATGCAAGAAGGCAGATTTGTTTTAGCCATCTTAAAAGCTGCCTTTAAAAGTCCAATGTGTAGAAGCAGTCAATGAATTTGCAATTTTATATTTGATGTAAGCACATCTTTGTTATGTTAACAGTTAACACTGCCAGCAAATTACAGAGCAAAAAGTTTCAATATAAAGCATGATGGAAACATTCTAACTAATGGGCACATTGTTAGAATGCTCAGCTTGCAGGATCCTTCCTAATTTAGTTGAAACTGTGGGTTTGTCCACACCTTTCATATCTTCCATTCCATACTTTTCCTTCCAAAATGTAACCCATCACATTTCATAGTTCTCATTTCCAAACTCAGTATTGTCCTAACAATCTCAATATCTTTATAGGTAACAAAAACAGCCCACTACTTTTCTAAAGTAGAGCAGCAATCCTTTAAGATCTGCTGCCTTGCCTGATCTTGTACTTTCCAACCAGTCCGAGAACAGGTCAGGCTCTCTAAACATGTAGTCCAGGGAGCATAGGTCATTAAGGCAAATTGTGGTCGTTTAAAAAATGAAATTGGCAATGCTTGTATTCGTTAGCGCTGACATTGACCAGCCTGTCAGTCAGGGGCCCTCACTCACCACTGCTGATGGGTAGGCACAGCAACTTCATGCTTACATGCATGATGACATCAAGTGTACTGGCAAAGTTTCAGTGCAGTCGGTAGAGGATCGAATTAACCTAGATAACAATTGATGGATTTCCAAACCTAACTGCAAGTACAGACTCTGGACGTTGCTGTCCAATATGCTGTTAACAATGGTGTGCATTAATAGCCTTGCCACATTCTCAATGTAAATTCTAAGCCAGTGTGGCTATCTCATCGTTCACTTTCCTATTTATGGGTATTAAGGCATCACAGATTTGCAGGAATGTTTCTTGGAGTGCCCATTTATTTATTTTTTTAAAACTCCATGCAGTGGTCTTGTTCCTGCTCCCCATCTCCCATTGTGTTGTGCTTCACTGCCTTTTTTCCCTCGTATAGAGCTGCTAGTCTAATAGATTGTAGGCTAATGGATCTCAAAGTCTAATTGACTGTAGGCTAATTGACTGCACTTTCAGGTTCATTGTTCATACTCCTTCTAATGGACCATATGTTTAATCTTGGATTCTAACGTTAAGCACAAACTTGATTCTGTAGCAAGAAAGTGCCAATTGGTACAACTGGTATCAGACCTACTGCATAGCCAAATTACAACCAGTTGGAAGAAATGCACAGTATTTGTTCAGTTGCTTAAGTGCCTCCTTGGGTTGGTCAGAGGCCCTTTCTCCTTCCCCTGCCGCCAAAGTGCCTATTAATTGTATAGCATTTTGTGAAACGTGCTATTTTTCTCTTACAGGCCTGGCGGTTCAGCACTGCCTTCGGCACGGTTAAAGAGTGGAAGTTTGCAGAAATTGCCAGCATGGCTGATCACCTGAAAAACTGTCGGTACAACACAGTGGAGAGGACCGGGGAAGCTGTCCCATTGCCCTGCATGTGCGTGACCAGGGAGCTTACCAAAGCAGGCCGCCCGTTGCGTTCTGTTCTAAAACCAGTTCTCTAATCTCTTCGGACACTGACTATGTACTGCAAAACATTCTAATCTTAAATGTGGTCTGTCACTTTGTATATGATATATTTTGCTTTGATGTGAGATTTATTTTTGTAGTACAGTACCTTAAGCATGCCAGCACAGGTAATGAAAAGCGCCTTGATGACAGGCAAATTGAACGGATGGACATTTTTTGTGGATGAAACCTTCCCCTTTTTGGAGTCTTCCATTTGTACATATGGTTTTCTTGCATGGATCTGGCCGTTTTTTTTCTTTTGGAAAAAAAAGTCTACCCCCCACCCCTTCCACTACCCCTAGGCCCTGAACAATCATATTGTGAATGTTGTAGATACAAACAGTTATTGATTGTTGTGACAAAAATCCTCATCAAAACGTGGCAATGCTCTGTTGTTATTTGATGACTCAGAAAGATGCTCAACCTGGTAATTAAAAATTAGATGCTTCTTGCCTTTTTGAATCACAACTCGAGCTCATTCTGAGGTTAGAGGGATTATTTGTCTACATTATGTCGGTAAGCTAGCTGCTGCAAAGCAATATTATACCTCACGCTCATCAAAAGCAAAAATGCCGCAGTGCAGTGGATTCACACTGTATGATTTTGCCACTTTTAGCACTTTAGTTTTACAGCCTCGTTTTATTAATTTGATCACCAATATTTAATATTCATCATTGTTCACGTCGTTTCTCACCCTCCTGTCTTTCCTAACTCTGTACCTTTTGTGAGTGTTACCTGTGACCTTGAATGGGGAAATGAGCAACTTGCTTTGAAACTAAATCTAATAGGGCTGTTTTCAGTCTGCCAAATGAAAGGCTGTGCTTTGTGAATCCATCCACATTACTGAACCTAAACTCTCCCCAGACACAAGGAGCGGGTGTCAGTTTGGAGGCCAAGCACTCGGCTACCAAAGCAACTTTTACTTTTTGGTTTCACTTTTTAATACAGTTCATACCTCCAACTTTAGAATGCTTTATTAAGGGAGTGATTGTGTGCATTTTTGTTTACGCATTTAGCGCCAAAAAAAAATTTGAATGTCTTTGCCTTCAGCTTTGGCGTTTAAAACTCTGATCCTGTAATGTGTTAATGTGACTTCACAATCAAATGTAATGCCTTTTCACCGCACTTTATTGATTTGAAACCACTGATGGAATGATATGAGGAGTGCAGGATTGTTGTGGAAATCTAGTTCGTCCGATTTTTGAAGGCTTTGTTCATCAGAGTATTCATGGATTCCACTTGTGCTGTAAACAAAACACTGCTGCTAAATGTAGAAATCAGTCTGTTTTCCCTTAACATGTTTTAAAGTTTAAAATGAAACAGACTTTGAAGAAAATCCTGTATGTAGCTTAGTGCTAACATCTGTTTACAGACCTTTATAAAATACGTGCTTCAGATTCACACGTTAAGACATCTATATGGGAAAACTCTGAGCTCATCGTTAAGAACACTAATTTATTTTAATTTTGAATCATTTGTAGAATGAGGTGAAATGAGAATCTATTGGATATCAGTATCTGTTGCCTGAAAATTTTTCTACTGGCTTCTCGGAAGAAAAAGGTAGTGTAGTTTCAACAGCCCCAAAACTAAATTGGCTGGTAATATGAGATTCAGATGTAAAAAATTGGGACCCGTGTTGATGCAGCAGGTGATTAAATCAGGTATTGCATAGCATAGTAGACTCAGTGAAAGTTATGGTTCAAAATGGTGCTGCTGTGTTGGGGAGTTTCACACAGTGCCACAGGTAAATGTTTGAAGCCCATTTATTTGACTTGTGGAGGGGAAATGTTTCTGGAGCATCATAGACATCAGCATTAAAAAGGCCAGGATCAGTTTGCTTGCTCTTTGGATCTGGATGTCTACCCAGTCCCCTTGGCTCTGGGCATCTAACTAGCTGGTGCCCTTGGCTTTGGGTTCTAACCAGTAGTTGCCCTGGCTTCTGAATGTTTAAGCAGCTGGCACTATTAGCTGTGGGCTCAAATCACTGGGAGTTCTTGGCTGTGGGCATGTAACTGGCGAGATGTTTTGTACTGAACGTTTAACCTGTCACAAGAAGAAAGCAAAAAAAATCTAAAAATGCAAATATTTTGTCTAGAGAGCAATGGAACTGAATGCATCATTTGAAGTTGTGCACGTGTGTTTTAATTTGTGTGGAGATACCTACATGTCAATTAAATGTTGCATTCATTACAACTTCATTAAACTCTGTTCAGTGTGAGTGCATTTTGTTGCTGCAGTTTGAAGTATGTACAACTCTGTTCCATTGAAGATCGTTTGATCTCTGCCCCTTTTCTGCAGTTGCTTCATTTACCAATAATTGTGTCATTTGGTTCCAATGCTTATTATCATGCTCCAGGAATAGAAACTTTGCTTCACTAACAAAATTCATATCATTATCATTCACTTAAACATTACACTGGTCTACTCCTATCTAATATATTTACATTATTACCTTTTTTAATCTCACACCAGAAACATCTGTGTATTTTCTGCTTTCAAGTATGAGAAGTAAAGAAAATGAAGGGTCACATAAAATTCTCTGAAACCAAGATGAAGATCAAAGAAGTCTCTAACTTAATGTAAAAGTAGACTTCTCTTTTCTACATTCTAAATTTCAGTTATGCAGGAGTTTGTGTTGGGGGGCGTGGAGAGACCTCTTCCCCACTCTGCTGGTCTTTCAATGATGCACGACATTGAGCTTTTGTACTAAATGTTTGATTTCATTTTAAACTACAAGAATTCTAATAAAAACAACTTGTCATTTTTATTAACTACTGAAAGACTATGTTTGAATTTTGTGTTGCATGAGAATTGAATTTTTGGAGGTTTTTGGGCATGATGATAAATTGAATCATTGAGGGATAGAAATGGAGACAGCAATCATAAATTTGTTCATTTAGCCACAAGTTCCTATTTTTCTGACCCAGTGCTTTTGGCATAAGAAATTGCTAATGAAAATGCACCAAGGTTCATCTAAGTCTCTTTCTGCATCATAACCATGTAATGCAATGATAATGGTGTTGTTGACAATTGGTATAGAGCAAAGTACCAGACATGAGGTGGGTGAAAGTTTACTGGTGGGAAAGTTTGGGAACAAGTGGCATAAAAATATCTGTATGCCAGACTTCATGTCTCTAATTACTCATACGTTTTACCCCAAAGTGTGACCATTTTGAAAGAAATATATCAAATTTGTATATGAATGAATAAATCATAACCGCTCACGACTGTCTCCCTTGTAAATCTATGTCTTACACATTGTTCACTACATTATTGTTTCCATGACTAGTTTGAATTTGCCCCTCTGAAGCATGTTTTAGTTTGAACTAAGTAAAAATAGCTTTTCTGATGAAGGTTCTAGGCCCGAAACGTCAGCCTTTCTGTTCCTATGATGCTGCTTGGCCTGCTGTGTTCATCCAGCCCTGCACCTTGTTGTCTCATCATGGTTGACATCTAATTTCTTTAGACTCCTAAGCAGTAATTGTACTATTTTTCAACTGTCTGTGTGCCACGAAGAACATACTTATTTTGCATCAATTCTTTCATCCTTTAAATCATTGATTTTTACTCCTATCCTTTCAATAGATGTAATATCCTCTTTATAATGTGGTGAGCAGAGCAGTATCTATTGTGACTCATTTGTCTTCCAACACATCCCAACATATGATTTACATTCCTCACTGCCTCAATCATCATTTCCAGATCTCCCTTATTTTCATATACAGTTGCTTATTTTCAAGTAATAGTTAATTCCTAGACTTTTGTCTCCACGTGACTTTGCATTTGGCTACATTGGGTTTCATCTGCCATTTGTCAGCCTGTTTTCTGCAGAGGGTCTTGCAAGCTTACTGTTTCTTTTGTTTTACTGGACCAATGCAGTAGGGTCCAAAGATTACAGTTGACCTCTCCAGAGGCCAGAGGTGTTTTGGTCATGTGATATCCTCATTAAAGAGATGGTTTAACAATTGACTTCTATTCCTCTGGCCAGAGGTGCAGTATAGATATGTACTAATCAACCAGCTGAATTATTACACATCTCTGGACCCATGTCTACAGCAGTGGGACTTGAACCTAGGTCTGGATCAGAAGTAGAGATGCAACTACTGTATCACAACATTCACCATACCCCCCACCCCATGCCCCAATCATTTTGAGTCCGGTATGCACCATAGTAGATAGCTGGGATCATTAGCACCTCCACAAGTGTAATAAAATTTAAACATGTTTGCCCCGGTCAAAGCCTATAATGTGTTGTATGGGATACATGTTATCAGAGTCATTGCAGCCATAATGAGTTTTGATGGCTTCCCCCTTAATTCTTTCTTTTTTCTGGGGTGATATAGTATCTACTGTTCTTTAGTGCTAGCTTTGACTGCAGTGTCCCCAAAATGGAGGGTGAAAGAGATTCTAGGAGGCTGGTAGTTCTAGCTTTGTCTGTGAAATGGTACTGTTGGAAATTGTGTAGGTAACTTCAGAAATCGTATGACTGATGGCTTTTGCTAAAGGTAGCTATGTTAAAGCAAACAAAACCTAGCTTTTAATGACACTTAATAACTCTCATGTCATGTGGACATGAGACTCAGTCCGTTAAGGAATTGAGTTCAGTTTCAACTTTCAAAACATTTTCTTACAAAATGAAAGTAAAGAGGTGTGTATTCATCTTTTTCACTTTTGAAAGGCGAACACATGGCTTATGGGTGGAGTGCCAGTTACTTGCTGCATTGAGGGTTTAGACATGGAATAAGCTGTCGATGATGATGTTCTTTTAATCTGACTGATGTTTAGATTAACAGCTTGGAGGAAGAAACCACCATAACAATTTGGCAATGGTTGCTTTGCACATTTCAAGAAAAAGTCAAAATAGAATGATCTTTAACTAGCAGGATAGCTTTCATTTTCTGTAAAATACTCTTGGCATTCTTCTGTCCACATGACCTGAAATTTTCTTTCTGATGCTCTACATGATTAATTCATCCAGGTACACTCTGCAGTTGCTGAGTCCAGCTGTTACCAGGTCTGTCAGCCTCTGAAAAGTTGCTGCAGCATTGTTAACGCCAGTGGGTTTGCTCAGATATATGCTATGAAGCGTGATAAAGTATGAAGATATTGTTCACTGGGGGGTTATGGGGACATGCCAGTACCTTTTTAAAAGGTTTGTTTTGCTGGAGGTAGCCTGTGTGGCCCACATTACATACATCAGTGTGTGGGCTGGTTGTTCTGGTCACTGTATTTGCTTCCTCGTATTAAACATGGAGCCATTTGGTTCATCTGGTCATCCAGGCGTGCTCCAGGTGCTCTGACTAGGCTCAACTGTTTTGTTCAGAAGCAGAGCTATATCAAAGTTGAAGCATTAACTTTGTTTCTCTTCACAGATGCTGGCAGACCTGCTAAGTTTCTTCCAGCCTTTTGTGATCATTTCAGATTTCTAGATTTTGTCTGTCTTTAACTATTTTGTTCTCCAGCTTGTGCTGGATTTTCTACTTGTCCTGCGTCAGCTTGTCAGGGATCAGCCAATAGGGCTTTTGATTTATTGATAAGCATTCTCCCATATCCATGTCTTGGATCTTTAGTGTTATACAAGACAGTTAATACAGTGTTAACAGACATCGTGAAATAAGCTCTTCATATAAGCATAGAAAGGACTGTTCCTGGAAGGAGCCAAAGAGGTGTTAATGTGTCTTTACCAGTGTTTGCAGGGTCTATAAGGTGTTGATCTAGAACTAAGGCAGTGTAGCTAACAGCAATGTGTACTTACTTGTAAGTTGAGCCTGAAGTCTCACAAGACACCATCATGTACATCAGATGGAATGTAACTAGCTATTAAGTAAGATATAATAAACTTATTTACTGTTCATCAAGATTGAGTTTGTTTTCTGCCAAAGACATTAATGTGAATAACTTTCCCACTTGATATCAGTAGCTGAGACTAATACCAATGAGAAAAACTGGTGACAGTGACTTTACCTGAGTCATCTCAGTTACACCAATGTGAAGTTGTCAGCCTGGAGACTCAAAATGATGATACAGCACATTGCCGAATGGTGTGGACAAATCTTCCCACTTCTTTTTGGACAGGGGAGTTAACTGAGCATTTGCATTTAATATTCTGGTGTCTGTCAGCCTGGTTCAAGTGGTTCAACTATCTTTTCCTCTAAACAGTCTCCAATCCATTTCATCCTTCCTTAAATGAGGAAACCAAAGCTGCATATAGCATTCGAGATGTGGTCTCACCAGTACTTGAAGCTGACTCCTCCTTGTTATCCTTCGATGTAACCTCCTTCTGGAGATGCTCACTGGTTTTCTAATGGATTCTGTTTCATCAGCACCTGAACTTGTCCTGTGGTAGTCACAAGTGCAGTGGACTTTGAGGGTTGCTAACCTTCCCTGTTCTGTTATTTTGAGGAGGGATTGGTCTCAAATCTATCTGTAACTGTAGTGATACTACAGTTGCTAGGGAGCTGTCCAACTTACAGTTCTGCTGTCCAGATCTTCAGCCTGTTAAGTGATCTCTTTCACCATCTGAAATGTTTATCTGGGAAGTTCCCTGTTCTCCCTTTAAAGTAAGAAAGACAATGTTGATGAGCCAACCACCTGCTCATTCAGCAAGGGTGCAGGCTTCTTTCCTTTTAAAGTTTATTGCCTAATTTATGACTGTTCTGTGTCAGTATACAGTCCCATACTTTTGGGACAGGCTTGCTCACAGGGTTAGGCAAGCTTAGGCTTCTTTTGGGAACCCATGGGTGCCCCTCTAAATTCGGGAGGAGGGATATCCAGATAACCAGATATCATGTTTATCCAGGAGATGTATGCATTCCTTTTCTTTTAAGTAGTTTTCTCACCAAATGTGTGTCTAGTTGGGATACTTGGTCTCTTCAAAAATTGATAAGAAGGCTTTGGATATTCAGATTTGTCCAGTAGACATACAGGCTTCTTTTCTTTTAAAGCTAGAGGAATTAGCTTCCTCACCAACTGTGTATCTGTCTGAGAACTTTCCATTATCTCTCGAAATGTAGAAAGAAAATTTTGAATAGCTAGGCCTCCTCATCTGGCATGGTGCAGGTGCCTGTTCTTTTAATGCGTAGTAAGGCAGTTCCGTCACCAATTTGTGGGTTTTGAAATTTCCCTGATCTCTCTTTAAATATGGAAAGTTTTCAGCTAGTCAGATCTTCCACTCATCCAACAGGGGTACGGGGTTCCTTGAATGACACTTGCTTAGCGACTATTGCTCAGTTTGGGTTCAGCCAGGGCCACTCAGCTTCTGACCTCATTACAGCCTTAGTTCAAATATTCAGAGCTGAGATGAGAATAACTGCACTCGACGTGAAGACTGCATTTGACTCAGCATGGTGCCTAGTAAAACTTGTGTTAGTGAAAATTAGGAAGGAAATTATCTGCTTGTTATGGTTATACCTGGCATAAAGGAAGATAGTTGTGGTCATTGGAGGTCAGTCATCTCAGCTCCAGGACATCTGCAGGAGTTCCTCAGGGTAGTGCTTTAGGTCTAGGCATCTTCACCTTTCCTCCATCGTAAGGTCAGAAATGAGGATGTTTGCTGATGATTGGACAAAGTTCAGCACCATTCCTGACTTCTTTAGTACTCAGATTAAGGATTTATGATATTACTGGATCTTTATTGCCATCAATAGATTTGAACTGGTTCTACAAACTGATCATGTCCAAGCAAAAAAAACTACAAGGACACTGATCCTTGGACTCTGGTAGAATAAAGAGCCTGACTGACTGTGCCCAAGTCTCTAGACTAGAATCAGACCAG